CTCTATTCATGCCTAGCAGGTGAGCACACAGTAAATGAAGTGCTGAATGAATGAGCCGTGGATGAGAAAACCAGTTCGCCCTGGTATCATACACCCTGGGACAGCGGGGGCAGTTGAATATATTTGCTAGCATCCCCATGGGTATCGATAAAAAGATGACTTCATTAATGATCAAAAAGTTAAGACTTTTTACAATCCAATTATGTCTTCAACATGTCAAACTAGTTTCTTTGGTCTAGCAGTTACAGAGATACTAAACCTGGGGCAGCAGGTGGGGTTAGAGCAGGCTGTATAAACAGAGGAAAACCTGGGATTAACCTTTACCTAAAGCTACAAACTAGTCTGTACCCAGGGTTTTAATCCATCTGTTTAGCTGGTGAGATAGGTAATAACTCCATTTTACTGATGAGGAAGCTGAGTTCAGAGAAGTCATCAGCTCATATTTGCAGGGCTACAAAGTGGTAGAACCAGGATTCTAAGCCAGGATTCAAATTCTGGGCTCTGTGACACCCCTGAAATCCCTCCATCTCAGATGCATCATTATAAATAACTGAGCATTAGAATTCTTTTTTTTTGGAGAGGTTTTTGCTATAGGGTGTGTGCGCTCTCCAGACAGACAGAGAGACAGAAGGCGAGAAATTACCCCCCCCAGGGGGGATGGTCACACCGCAATCCCTTCTCCTCCACTCTCCTCTCAGGATCTTGGGCACGCACGCACACGCGCCTGGCGTGAGTTTTAAGCCGCCGGGTCCGGGACTTGAACCACGGTCGACTATGTGGGAGTCCAGCGACATAGCCATTACGCTAACTGCTGGTCCCTAGAATTCTTTATAAAAATATGGGACTATCAACTTAAGTTATTTTATTTTATTTTTTCTAACTTGGGTGGCTAACTTGGAAAGTTGTTGAACACCGACTGAACTTGCTGGGAAACCCACTAATCTTAGCCTTTTAGGGAAAAATCTTCAACAGAATTTATTTAGAAGGTAAATTATGAAAATTTAATATTTGCCCTCAAATTTCCCTTCCAGGCTGCGCTTCAAATAAATATTTTCCAATCCAAACAAGACCACAGTTATTTTAGATGTTTATCTTAAAATCAGAATCCACCGCCTTTTCTTGGTTTTGTGAGGAACACGTCTTCACAATAAGCTGCAGTAAGGCGAAATAGGTCTCGCAACTCCTACGGATCTGCATCTGGTAATGACTAACGTTGAACTCGGTAATGAGTGAGGGTAATTTCAGAGTGCTTGGCTTTGTTTTAAAGGGTAAGAGTCTGGAAGCATGCTCATAAGACTTCATCCAGATCTGTGTTCCTGGCACATAACTAAGGGGCTGTGCCCAAGCTCCAGGTGGGAACAGAGGGCAGGAGAGGGCACACTTGCCTCCCAGGGCCTGCCCATTGGGGAGCAAGTGCATTAGGGCCTGAGGAGCCAGACTCTCATAGCCCCATGGCCTTTGGATGCCCCCCACCTCTCCGTGTCCTAGAAAGGAGAAATAGCTTCTTTCCAACTCAGGTGGGGGCTGGAGAAGACTTGAGGGCAGGCAGGAGTCGGGGCCACCACAGCTTCTCAAATGTCCCTGTCCCTGCTGGGCCTGCTGGTTGCACTGCATCTCACCAATCTGCACAGAATTCTGAAATAAGAATGTGTACCTCAGCCAGCTTATTTCTCACCCTACCCCAGCATTCACCTTGGTCACGAAGTAGGATTTCTGAATCAACGGCACGTCAGACCCACTGGGTCTTGACTCGCTGCCTGAATTCCCACGTCTTTGTGGAGATAAAGCGTATCTCTGGCTTGGTGAATGCTTTGTGATTACTCACTTCTTTCCATTTGGTGTTTTACGTTGGAAACTCAAGAATGTGGTAAAGTGTCTGTACCTGCGTTCATGTAGAGATTTTAAAAATACAACTCTGATTTTTTCATGAAGGAAAAAAAAATAAAAGATAGCATGTGTGTGGGGGAAATACAACCTAAGACAAAGTTTTCTAGTCCATTCCTCTTACTAAATGCTAATCTCCTGTGCTAGATATCGTCATGCCATAATTTTGGAATGACTGCAAGTGTCAGGGACTGTTTTAATGACTGAGCATATGTTTTATCAGTAAGTCGTCACTGCCGGAAGGATCTGCTTTTACTCCCATTTTACAGATGAAGAAACTGAGGCACAGAGAAGTTACTTGCCCAAATGGCCATGGCAAATAAAAAATGGGGCCCAGAGGCTAATAAAAGCATTTTGACTCCGAAGTGCTTGCCCAGAAACCAAAGCTCCCCTGCACGGAGAGAGACAGCAAGGAACATCACACATCGAGCCATCTAGAAACAGCTCCCCGGAATATCCGCACTTAATTTAAATGTGTGAATTCCTTCTAGTACAGTGTAGGAAATGATGAGAATCGGATGCCGTCTCCATCTATATATAGAGGGCACAGATAGCTTCTGCAGCGTGAATAGCCGTTTTAGAGGTTCGAGATGGCAGTTCACACACAAGGAAAGCCCCCGTTCTGTGACGTGGATCATCATGATGTAGGTGTGCAGGGAGCCAGGCCACATGGCCCAGCTGCACAGTTTTATTCGGCCAAAGCCCTGACATAATACTGTACACGCAGGCCAGCCTACAAGGCGGAGGGGCTTCTCCATGCTCAGTGCTTTGGTTTTGCACCGAATCTCGGCTTTGAGATGGAAAGACGTTTTGGCGACTCACTGCCAACTTTGGATCATCCCCCAAGTGCTTTAGAAAATATTTCTCTACCGAGGTGAAGAAAAGCAGGAAATTCAGTGTGCTTAGTGACTTAGATCAATGTGTTCAGATAATTCATATACTAAATCCCCTTTTGCTTTTTTGAATTTGCAAGAGGGTGTGTGCCCTCACCAAAGACAGACAAAGAGACAGAGCGAAGGAGAAAGCACTCTCATGGGGGGTGGTCACCTCGATCCTTTCTCTTCCATTTCTCCATCCTGTTGGAATTTGGGGCACAGACACATGTGCCTGACATGTTTTTTTTTTAAGCCACTGGGGCTGGGGATCAAACTGCTTGGTTGGCCATGAGGGATCTGACTCCCTTAATCACCAGGCCATGGGGTGGCCTCCAAATCCTCTTTCTGTAATAGCAGGGTATTAATCTGAATTGTCTGCATTGTCACCACCACCCACTTGGACATTTCCTGAACACACTCAGCTTAAATTCTCAGCATGCCTCTAGGTTCTCATTCCGCTGTAGTAATCCGGGGACTCCAAGGGTGAGTCTGCACGTGTACAACAAATAGTTCTTAAGACACCAATATTTTCCTTCTAGCCAGCTTCTTGATCAACCCAGATGGCTGTGAAATCAATTTGTCTTCTGTAGCAACTGACATCAGTCACCAGGGTTGCTATGCTTCCGGGACAGGCAGGCCACAGCTCAGCTTGTGACCGCACGGGTCTTGGACAGGGCCTAGAGCCATTCAACACTGACGAAGCTGGCAGTTTGTAAAGGCTTATGCTATAAGTAACATCTCTCACTTGACGCAATAGTTATCTTTCTGCCAACTTGGCTCTCTTGCCTGAAACTCGGTGTTTTCCAGTCTGATAATTCTTCAGATTCCATGTTTTATAGAATATAAAGTGAATTATTTACCCTTTTTGTCAACGTTGTAAGTTCCATATGGAGCTTGCTCAGTCTGAGAAACATCTGTATTAATCAGACAAGCCAAATCACTGAGTGGGCCTAAAATGCTCATTTTAATGATTTTTCTCCATAGATGACAAAGGACACAATGCCAGCAGCCACCCAGTTTTCGTAAGAAGGCTAAAAATTACACTAAATGAATGGGGTTGCATTATTTAAATTTCTGCAATTAAGAACATTTTCAGCTCAATAAATCACAACATGAATTTTGAAATCTTTGTAGACCGACCTTATCTGCTCTATTCAGCCTTTATCGCCTGCATTAAAAGCCTAATTCCTCTTATGACAAAAACCTGAAGAAAAAAAGGCCGCCTTCCTGCTAACAGTCTTTAAAACAAGACGGGAACTCTGATGATACTTTTCCCTGATTAAGTAAGAAGGAAGAGTTGGGGCTTCGCCTGAGAGGGCATCATCTCAGGAGTCGATTTGGTTTTTGACTTCATTAAAGCAACAAAATGTGGGTGGTTAATCTGAGTGAAAGCTGCCATTTTCTAAAAATGCATTAAGGTTTCACTGGACGGGTGGCTGCATGACAGGAGCTATTCAGGGTTAGAAAGAACTGTGATTTGGATTTTAATGAGTTGCACACTATTTATGAATTCTTTGGCAGCTTCTTTGGATCCTTCCTTTTTGACCCAGAGCAGAAGGCAGACCTTTCTGACCAGCTACTGCAACTTAGACGTCAGTTCCCGGAGGAACCCAGTGTGTCCTACAGATGTGGGCTTTGATGGGGAGCAGCCTGAGGGACTCTAACTTCCCGTTGATTTTAGCCCCTTTCTGGATACTATTAAGTCACTCCTGCCCCAAGCGGAAGACTAGTGGCTTCAAAGGCGGCGAGAGAGTGAATTATTTACCAAATTGCACAAAAGGGAGGATTTATCAAGCTCCCTTTTTCCCTGAGAGGACAAACCCAGAACTGGAGGACTTTATTACTTTCTCTCTCGGCTATAAATTATGCCATTGAGATGCTTTTGAAAGCTCCTCTTCATGCTCTTCCTTGAGTCATAAAACTTGATACCTGGGGCCAAAACGCCTTTATACCCTAAGAAGGGTGAAGAAGATGAAAAGACAGCAATTCCAGGCCAATGCCACACAAAGAAAAGGATCAGGCAGAAAATGCGAGCAGTGGACACAGTTACTTTGCATAATTCACGCCTCCTGGACCTGGTGTTCTGCTCTGAAATTAATTTTAACTTTTGCTTAGGATGACTGACCTTCTGAAACTTGAATTAGCCCCTTGGAAAACACTCGATTTAGCCAATTCCACTGTTTCGATTGCTGTTGTCTTTCATGCTAGGATTTAAGATTCTGCAAATTTCAATAAACTCACCTGGAGAGGGCTTGCTGGGGCCCACTTTCTCTGGTTTCCTGGGAGTCATGGTGCTTTTATGTTTCTGCTTCACTACTGTTTGGTCAATTGCAGGAAGTCTGGAATCACACTTAACTGTACACGTCTTGGTAGATGCTCTTGGTTCACTTAGAGGATCCTCCTCACCAGAACTCTACCAAAAATGAAAGGAATCTGAGTATTAGTGGCCAAGTAGGGCACCTTCGCTAGGCAGAGGGAAAAAAATGAGGCACATGCAGTGGCCCTTCCAGCAGTAATGCTGGGGCTTCCTGCCATTCTCAACGTGCCCCCACTCCAGTGAGGTTATGATAGACTTTGAGGATCAATTTAGAAATGACAATAGAAGATCCAGCATAGCAATAATCTGTTCCCACATGGTGACCAAGGCCTCTGGCCTGGTCAGCATGAAACACTCCAGGCCAGGCATGTGTGTGAGTGTCCAAGACCTAATGGACTGGAGGACTGGAGGAGGGGGGTCGCAGTGTGACCTGACCCTGGAGGGCGTTTCCCTCTCTCCTGCTCTCTCTCACATACTCACATGTGTACATGCTCAATTATTAATAAGGAAGAGAAACTTAGGGAAAAAAAGAAATAACAAAGTTAACAAGTCTGTTTTGCAGAATATTATGAAAAGAAAGCATTTCTGACTCTTAAGTAATTTGATGACCATGTTAAAGCTACGAATGAAAGCAGGAGGAAAAACATTAATTCCTTTAAACTTCTTGCTGCTTGTTATTTGAACTACTTTAGCAATGAGAGGGAAAAAAAGTGTTCCTTATGTTAATCATATACTTGACAATGCCAAGGAAATTTGGATAGTGCGGTGCAGTGGAGACTGATGAAATCAGACTCAGTTTCGATATTCTGAAATCATTGGATGCAAACTAAGACAGACTAATCTTTTTGTGAAAAGTCCCCTACTTGCCAGTCTTCTATAAAGAAGTCACTATAAATCTAAGCAGGGACAAATCACAGTTCCTGCGGTGTCAGAGTATCTCAACACAGTCTTGCAGATGTAATACAAATTATCCAGGCAGGCAACAGTTTTAATACTTGGCCACGCTTATACCCACCCAAAAGAACGATAAAAACACTGTAAAGGACCATCAGAAACCTGGTCCCAAAGGGTGATTTAAGTACAGACTTAGGGTTTTAGGTTCTGGTGTTAGCATGGTTTGCTAGGCTCTTCTTCTGCAGCAAACTAAATCAAAAGGTTCCTCCCCACCCCCAACACACACACACACACACACACACATCTGGGGAGGGAGAATGAGGAGGGTCACTAGTTTTCCTACACTGTACATTAATTCAGTACTAGAAGGTCTTCTGAAAATGTGGTTTTGCAGACATAGAGTGCTAAATTAATAGCCCTGGCACCTCCCCAAATGTTGCAACGTGTATTGATCTTGCTCATCGTTCTCCCTGACAGTTGTGGCATTTTCATTTTACAGGCTCCTGACTCAGGAAAATACTCTGAATAGCTTTGAATGATTGGGTGTAAAGTAAGACAAACTAAACTCTTAAAAAAAACCACCCTACTTGTCAGTCTTCTGTAAAGAAGTTAGTATAAATCTACAGGTGGACCGATGATTATCCTTTCAGATGGTAACTTTTCTTTTTAATTTAGAGTTTGGATATAATCATCCAACAAATAATTATTTTCGCCATATATTTTCAGACAACAGACCACCCTCGGTTAATGGGAGAGGAAAAGGACAGGACGATGGATTGATGGCTCTCCCTTTTCTCTTTCAATTCTGCAATTTCAGAGCACTCCTTGAACATCATTCTGAAATGTCAAAGATGAAACATTTGGTCATGTCTGAACATGAGATAAGTTCCCCACTCCTGGAAAGGAAAATGTGGGCAAACTTTAATTACAACGCACAAGACTGCTGTTGTAATTGGGTCCCGGAAGGCACAGTCACATCAGTGAGCACGGGACAGAATTTCTCACACACACAGCTCACTTTCGTGGGCTGACAAGTCTGACAGAGGCTGCCTCTCCAGCCCGGTGTTGCCAGTCAGCAGAAAGGCAGGAAAAACGGTCCAGGCTAAGACTATCAACGCTGTGGCTGCCGCAGCAGGAGCAGGTGTTTGCTAACATTAGCACACCCATCCCCCGTCACCCCCAGCCAGGACTGGGATTCTTTGCTTGCTCCAGGCAAGCAAAGTGATGAGCTGGGAGGACTTGATGAAGAGACTTTGTGTTGGGTGGGTGTTAAGCCATGTTTATCCTTCCTTCAAGCCTTTAGTAGGTGCTGAAGAGTGAAAGAAAGCTTGGCCAGTTAAGCCACGCCTGTTATGGATGGGGCCGCTGTGCACCTGCATTCCAAGTACATCCTTCTCTAGGGCCTGGTTCCATCAACCTTACTTCTAGGTGCTGATTATCTTTCTTTTTAAAATTCTTTCTTCTCTTTTCTTTCTTTCTTTCTATTTATTTTTATTTTTGAGAGGTTTTTGCTATAGGGTGCGTGCACTCGCCAGAAAGACAGAGACAGAGAGACAGAAAGCAAGAAATCACCCCCTGAGGGGATGGCCACACTGCAACTCTCCTCCATTCTCCTTTCGGGATCTTGGGCACGCATGCACATGCGCCTGGCATGAGTTTAAGCCACCGGGTCCAGGACTCGAACCGCGGTCGACTATATGGGAGAGTTCAGACACATAGCCATTACACTAACTGCTGGCCCCATCTTTTTCTTCTTCTTTTTCTTCTTTTTTTTTTTTAAGAGAGATTTTTGCTATAGGGTGCGTGCACTCGCCAGAAAGACAGAGACAGAGAGACAGAAAGCAAGAAATCACCCCACAGGTGGATGGCCATGCCACAATCTCTTCTCCTCCATTCTCCTCTTGGGATTTTGGGCATGCGTGCACTTACACTGGATGTTTCAAGCTGTTGGGTCTGGAACTTGAACCAAGTCAGCCATATGGGAGTCCAGTGTCCTAACCACCAGGCCATCTGCTGCCCTCTCCCTATGTTTTTTAATGGCCAGAGGGCATGTGCACTTGCTAGAGAGAGACAGAGGGAGAGGGAGTGGGGCACAGTCATGCTGCAATTCCTTCTCATCCATTTCTCCATCCTGTAGGGATCGGGGGCTAACATGTACATGTGCCCAGCATATTTTCTAAGCTATTGGGACTAGAATTTGAACCCCACAGTTGGTCATGTGGTATCTGGCTCTTTAAACAACTGGGCTATGGGACTGGCCCCTAATCATTCATAAGAATTCAGAAATTGCAGCTAGTGGGTGTACAGGCCGATGGCAAGAACTATAATACTTATGAAAGTGCTCAGGACCCTGTCCTGCTTGCCTCACTGAGTAATCTTAAACAAATCACGTCAACTATTTTGTCTTTATTTGTGTCCTCTCAAATTCTCAGCCAATCTCATCTATCCTCTCTCCTGACCCATCATACCATCTGGAGAGATGATTCCCCAATTGGGAGAAGTTGTAGTAATTAATTCTGGCACCAAAGCATGGTATGTGAGACTAAAGCCCAGTTCCCCGAAGTGAATCCAGCTCTTGCACATAGTGTGTGGCATTCCCTTAGTTCATTTTTCTACATTGTATATGTTCTCATCTGTAAACAACAGTATCTATTTTTTGATGGTTTCATAAGGACCAAATGAGTTACAACAAGTACATAGAACAGCACTGTATCCACATAACATCACCCACAAAGGGGATGGCCATGCTGTCATGTTACTGTCTCGCTTTTGTTTTCCCCCCAAGTTTTTGCCAAAGGGCCCATGCATTTGCCAGATAGAGATAGAGACAGTGAGAGGGAAAGTGAGAAATCACTGGGGGGTGGGGGGAATGACCATACTGTAATCCCGTTTCCTCCATTCTCCTCCCAGAGTTTTGGGCACACACATATGCATCTAAAATGATTTTTCAAGTTGCCAGATCCGAGACTCAAATTGGGGTTAACCATGTGGGAGTCTAGCATCTTAACCATTATACCAACTGCTGGTCCTCAAGGGTTGGCTTTTATAATTAGCTGTTAATTCATGTCATGTTCAACCAATTTAAAAATTAACTGAACATTAACTAGCCACTACTTTGTTTTTTAAAACAAAGCCAAAAGTCCAATGAAAATTTCTATTGACTCTCATCTATTCCAAAGGGGTATGAATGGAGAGACAAGCCAGTTCCTTCACCAGACTCTCAATTCCTCCTCCAGGCTATACAATTTATGGGAGTTGTACAAAGAGCCAGTTGAAATTTATCTAGTCTTAAGAAAATATGGTGCATTTTTTCAGACAGTAAACTTCAAAGAGCAAGTATTTAATAACACTTAAAGATTATTGAGCAATAATAATTTTTTAATTTAAAGTTCATTTTTAAATTGCATCATTGCCTCTTATAATTTTGAAAAGTCATTACAAATTTTATTTCTTCCCTATAATGTTCCTAAGTTAAAATGTCACATGGAGGTGGAGGCGACAGAATGTTGCTGTTCCTTTGGGGAACTAAACCAACTCTGTCTTTTAAAATCAAAGCCTAAGTCATTAAAAAACAAACAAAGCAAAACAAAATTTAATAACCAACTTAAATGATACATGAGTATACTTTAAGTTCTCTGTTGGGGATTTGATAGAAGCCCAAATAAAGTCATGTTAACTAAAATAAGTTATTGTCAAAATAACTTAGTTGAAGCAGATCTTGGGACACAGTATAGACCAGAGCATGACTTATTATTTTCTGGAGTATTACCATTTTTGTATTTCAAGTTTCCCAAAGATCCTGAACTTGCTCTTCTGGCCTCATACCTAATAAAGTAGAGCTATGACATTGCCCAGGGAGAGGCTCTTTCGAAAGTTCAGAATAAGAGTCATTAGGAAATGTAAGTGGCCCTGGGCATGGAAGTAATGACTTCATGTCATGGCCCAAGTTGGAGCTTCTGAAAGATGGAGACCCAAGAGCTAAGAAGTAGAATGTATTTCCTTTGGAATGTGAGGACAACTAGAGTTTAAAAACCGGGACACAATGATATTGAGTCTGAAATGAGAAGGTGACAATGAACTGAGATGCTCAGGAGAGCAAGTGGACTAAAGGAGTTGGGGACAGACAAGACTGAAGTTGTTTTCTAATTCTTGGCTTATGGCTCCTTTCCAAGACCCAGGAAATTGATTCTCAGCTGGTATGC